TTTGAACCTTGGTCTTCTGCAGCAGTCTGACACCTTTTTGTTTCGTATTGATGCGCAAAAAATATTCTCATAGTTGCAGAAAACTTGTGTAAAAACATCACTTTAGATTGAAAAAAAAATGAGCTCGTGCTGAAAATGCTTCTCTTTTGCTTCTTGACTTTCCATATTTGAAAGCTGAGGAATCAAAACGAATTAGCGCTTTGTCAAATCAAGTAGACTGTTTGAAAGAGCATGACCAGCTCTTTATGAAAATACATGCAATTGGACGCAAATTAATCGCCTCTTAAAAATAACAACAGGACTGAAAGAAAATAATGGTTTTTTTATTTGCTATGGCATCACAAGCAGCGAACCCCAAGAAAGCATAAGGGTACTGTTATATAGAGCAAAGCAAGCTTAAGTCGTTGACAATTCTTTCACGCCCAGATAATTTTACGTGAGTTGCAAATTTAAACTCAAGATTTTTCAGGTGCGCAAAATATAGAAAAATTGCATTCCAATTGTATCAATATCAGGCATTCTTATATACAGTAGCTGTACTTTTTCCTTAACTGGAAACTAAGAAATCGAATAACTTCCTGATTTTCTCAAAGCAATGCCAATGCAAGCCTCGTATGTAAAGATGTAAAGCTGGCCTATTTCAGCGTTAGTTTTCGAGAAATATCAAATCTAGATCCTTTTCTGGGTTTTTCTACCAAAATCAAAGTTTCGGAAAACTAAACTTCAAAAAAGCAAAAAGTTTGCAGTTATACTTGCAAAGGTTTATTATAGAATCACTTATGTCAGAATGGACAGCATTGCCTTGAAAAAAAAAACACAAAAACTTTTAATTTCTCAGTTTCTAATCAAGGAAAAAATACAGCAACCGTTATATGAATATCGGTGGTGATAATATATTAGGATGTCCCGAAAGTTTCGTCGGTTTTTTCCCTGAATGAGTTTTAACATGCTTTCGATGCAGCTTTTCCTTCTCTTTCTTGTGGTTACAAAACGAGCCACAATCCTGTATGCTTTTTCTGATAAATGTTACAATTCTTCACCCGTCATTTTTATCTGCTCAAAGTTTGGCTAATTTTCAAGTTCACTAAAAAGTTTCGGAGGTGTTTGAGTATAGCGCAAATAGAACAATTCTCGGACTACAAGGTGAAATTTTTAGATTCTCTCAACCTGCTGTTTTTAGCCTCAAAAAATTATTTCTTCAAAGCCCTCGTTGGCATAGTCATGAAACACGCAACTGCAGCAGAAACATGAAAGTTCAAAAATTTTGCGAATTGAAACTTCATTGCTAATAAAAATAATTATGCAACATAACCAAGTTTAACTTGCTTTGAAAAATCAGCTTTTTTGTAGGTTTCGTAAGTTTACGTGGTAGACGTAATCAAAAGACCGCGGTTTCCTTAAATAATCAATTATAACGGGCTTGATAAACACCTCACGTAATCTAAGTTAAGCGCAATGTAGCCAAAGCTTTGCTCTACATAACACTTGGCAATTTCTGAAACTAGTTGGAGAAAAATTTTCAAAATTTAGGAAAGATTTGGCGCTACTGTTGAGCTGCTCAAAAAGCCATGGCGATAACATTGCAAGGACGTGGTAGATCAGAGAGCAAATATAGCTGCAAGAAAGAGGATAAAAATCTGAATCAAATGATGCCTAGATCATTCATGAATTGGTGTTCTGTGGGTTTTGGTGAGCGATGAAAAAGCGGACAAAACTTTTAACCTAATAGATATATGCGAGGGGATCTATAAAAAGTGTCTAAACGGTTTTTCTTTTTCAAAGTTTTTTGGGCATTTGGAAGCTCTGGATTCTGATTTTTAGCTATACGTGGAGCAACCTTACCGGAGAAGCATCGCCTGCTTTTCTTTATCGGACAGTACCCCTTACATTTCATGGAGTTCGCCTGTTTGCGCCGCCATACAAGCCAGTAAAAACTACATTTTTTTCTTGACAATAATACCTAATATTGGGTTGTTCCTATTCCGTCCGTATCCACTTTCATTCCAACAACCAGGTTTGAGCGTGGGGTCAGGCGCGCCCGACCTGGGGGGTCGTAATTGGGGGGTAACAGCAAGGGGGAGGGGGGGTCGTAATCAAGAATGTTTGAAATTGAGGAAATACGACGATCGAGTAAGGCGAAGAAGAAAAGCGCTCAACCGTGAACCTCACAACTCCACCAGAGGAATGAGTGACGTGAACAGCATGCTGATTGACTCGACTAACGAAGCCTCAGTCAAATTTTCGTTCTTTTATTACACATACCGTAAGGTCACCAAAGAAGTTTTTTTTGTAAGCTGGGTATGAATTCCTTAATCATAAACAGCATGCCAAATTTCTCTCGAGCTCCATAAACCATTGCTTATTACATTTTATAGTATTTCTTAGCACATGAAAAGCATGATTCAAAACATGATTAACTTGATCACTAAAGTAAAGGAAGTCAGCTTTTTAGCATTCATACCAAAGTATTGCTCTTCAGCAATCTATGGCATAAATTGAACTTCATATCGCTTTCAAATAATGGATTAAGAAGTGCTGCCAAAACGTTAGTCACCGCGTTTTTTACCTCGAGTGCTTCAACTCCACCGATCACCACAAAACCAAAACAAGTCGAAGTAAGCTCAAACACCAACTGCAGAATCTTCGGTTTTGGTTTGTGCTAACGAACCATATAAGACTGAGGTGGGAAAGCTTCTTCGGTGAAGTTAATCGGGTTAGGCGCAACCCCTCAAAAGCTCAAGCGGCCTGAGTTTTTAAAGGGTTGCGTCTGACCCAATTAACTTACCTTTGAACCGCTCAAAGTTTTCCAATTTTTTTCTCATTCGTGATCGAACCTTCCTCTCCCCGCAGCAAAAGTTTCATTCGATATCATTACCTCTCCAAAAAGTTATCAGTGTTTTATCCTGCCCATCTGCCGGAGTCGTCGTTAGTCCTCCGTTGATTTCGTCCTACTGTAGAAACCATATTGCGCAAAGGATTGCAACGTGGCAAACCTCCATTTTCCGAATCAGCGGCCTGTCACCAATTTTAAAGGCAGTGGATCGGCAAAACCAAACAACTCAGGATTTTAGCGTAGTAGGTTGCTTATCGCCCAAGTATGAGAACATTGCAATCCCGGTCGCATAGCATGCCTTCCCTACCGAGAAAATTGCTCTTAAACTTACACGCGCAGGCCAATCTTACACGCGTCCGGACGAGTTGGCAATTCTTCTCTCACCATTGGAGGCTGCCCGCCGCAATGCTATAACCATTGGGTCCCGCAACGATTGAGCATCATCAGCCTTGCTCGACTCGTCCAATATCACAGCGAAAAGCATTGGAAAACGCTCGATTTCGCCGTTTTCAAGCCATCTAAAGTGGATTTTCGGAAACAGCGCATTGGATAACCCTAGGTAAGCGAAAATTTGACTAGGGTGAGATTTGCCGAGCCACTGCCTTTAAGGTTTTCTTTCCTTTTTTTTCGTGTATACTTCCCTTCTTTCCTACCTTCTTTTCTGCCTTCCTCTCTAGCTAGAGTGTCGTCATATTTGTGTTGGAGTTGGATTAACGCCGGTTTATCCTGGACTTTAGGGTTTTCTTAAGCTCTCAGTTTCCAATGCAGTATGGGCGAGCTAGATCAGTCATGCAGGTCTTCAAAAAAGTCGAGTTGTTAGATCGATCTGATCTCAGCTCCTTGGAAGATCTTGCCAAATACTAAGTTGGATTTCTAATAAAGTGAGCCTTCTTCGCAGTGTTTTTTAAAGCTTTGAGTCTATTATTATTTTCGAATAATTTGGATTTCTTCACACAAACTTCCTCGAATATCCTTTAACGGTTTCAACTCGCTCATCTTGCCGCTCCTTCAAAGTAGCCCTAGCTTTAACATCATTCATTTGTGCGGAAATAGATTGCAGGAAAACAATGTAGAAAGATTTCGGCCATTAAGCCCTATTATGTGGCAGCACGACAGTTCAGCAAAGTTTTATAGCAGTAATTGAGAAGCTTCCAAAAAAGGCTACGCCACGTGCAGGAGAGAACCGTAAGCATTGAAATTTATCTCATCCCTTTCCCCGAAGCTTTCAATTTTTCACCAGCAGCAAGATCAAAAAATCTTTCCTGACAAAAAAGTGCAATGTGATTTTCTTTTTTGGTGACTGCGTTTGTTTTCTCCGTGAATTGTGTACTACCTCAGGTTATACACGATAACTTTGGTGTGCAAAGATTGTCAAAGTGGTTCACTCAGACGTCACATCGCTTCATTCCCGCGTTTCGTTTCGGCATAAAATGATGCAATTCGTCTTTCCTGTTTTCTTTGGTACCATGATCTTACCTTTCTACCATGTCGCCAAGAATGTGTTAAGGTAAACTCGCTTTTTGCTGTTGTTCAAGTTCACAAGTTTTCTTTTTGCAGTCGAGCGGCTCCTGGCTGATTCGGCTGGATTCCTGAGTTTTGTCAACGCCTTAGGATGAGGCGACAAGGTCGTCTGTGATTCCTTCCTAAGGTAAAGCTTTTCTTCAACTCTGATTCCTTTTCCACACTAATCTTTTTTGGTTTTCTATAATCATCATAATTTATTTTGGTAATAGAATGTGTTTTGCTCAGAAGGAGCCCGGCATCTTTGCGCTGTTCTCGCGCAGGACGCTTTATGATGTCCTGCTTGCGGATCAGCGCTGTTGCCAACCTGACTTCAGCAAGTCGTTCGAAACATCCAGTTCCTGCGAGGCCAAGTTCATTGGATAGTGATCTCATTTCACGGTTCTAATATCAGTGAGAAGCCTGTTGTACAGGAAAAGGATCCCTTAGAATTACGTCTGGCAGAGGTTCTGCAGGACACGTTTTTGAGCAGGAGGCGCTCAAGAAGGTAATTTATACGCTACTTCTGTTTTGCCTTATTACGCCATTGCCATTGTCGTTTGACTGTGGCGACTATCGTACGTGATAGTTTTTTTTAGATCGAAGCTTGCTCCAAGCAAACTCAGTAATCAAGAGAGGTCCCGACCTTATTGTCAACGGGCTTGTGATGTATTTGCAAGAGCCCTATACGATGAAGGCAAAGATTCTGGTAATTTGTGATAGTATAGTCGGTTTTTTTTTCTGACTTTCTGCTTGCATCAAGTTCCAGAGTTCTATCAGAGAAAGCGATAGCTGCCCGGAAAAGATGGAACTGTATCTCAAGGACATCTGGGAGGAGCTGGAACCTCCTTCGAAATTTGAAGCTGCAAGCCAACTCACAACAAGTGTGTCTCAACAGGTGATGTGGATCGAGCTTCTATGATACGTCTTATCATGGAAATGAAGGCAAGTAACCAGCAGCAAGATCAAAAAATCTTTCCTGACAAAAAAGTGCAATGTGATTTTCTTTTTTGGTGACTGCGTTTGTTTTCTCCGTGAATTGTGTACTACCTCAGGTTATACGATAACTTTGGTGTGCAAAGATTGTCAAAGTGGTTCACTCAGACGTCACATCGCTTCATTCCCGCGTTTCGTTTCGGCATAAAATGATGCAATTCGTCTTTCCTGTTTTCTTTGGTACCATGATCTTACCTTTCTACCATGTCGCCAAGAATGTGTTAAGGTAAACTCGCTTTTTGCTGTTGTTCAAGTTCAATATGCCTTGCTTGAGGTTTGATTCTGAGTCCAATTCCTTTTAATTGAAGCTAATGTAGGAATTTTGGAGTATATTTTGTCCATCAATGTTTTGTAATGGTAGCTTATCTGCTCAATTATTGGAATTGCTGAACATATTCAGAACTTTTTAGATACGGATAATTTGGAAAGCGTGCTTACCAACTATTTGGCGCATCGCATTCGAGGTTTCGTCTGCTTTTTGCTGACGTGATGGCATCGTTAATGAAAACTAGTTTTGAGAACTTTACAGTCTCGTATTCATGTATTCATCGTTTGCTGGCTTTAGATGAAACGCTTCTCTCGCAAGAAGTGTGAATCCCAAAAACTCGCTTCTCTACGGATTTCAAATACATACAGTACAATGTACAGTAAACAGATTGAGATTTGAATTAGAAATGAAACTAAAAAGTGACGCTGATCACCATTGCAGAAATAAGCATTTTGACGCTATCTTCACTTTCCTCACTATCTTGAACAAGTCAGAGTGGGCGCTGATGGATCGCCAGTCCTGATGCATGTTTCGCAAAGCGCTTGCTGGCATTCGCAGCCGTTGAAGCAAGGCACCTATGCTGGACTACCACAGGACACAATTTTTGGTTATGTTTTTTGTATGAATAGCAGTTTTGTTTTGTTTTTTGCTGGAAATTTATCAATAATATTTATCAATAATAAGAGATGTTAAGATGAATGTGCTTGCAAGGGAAGGTGTCAGAGGTGGGGGGAGAAGTCGTAATTTAACATGACCTTAGGGGGGAGGCGTATTGGCAGGCCTGTGCCTAACCTCTTGCTCAACTCTGCCAATAACTCTCATTTTTTGGCTTTTAAGAAAACTTTAGGATTACTTTTGTTGAAGCAGAGCAAGCTCTACAAAATAGTGGACAAACTTTGCACATAATCAGCTCCACATAAAGTTAAAAATCAAACAAAACTTCGCTCAAAAAAATTCCACAAAAAATTCACATTGCATAGACAGAAAAAACAACAACAAACAGCCACAGATATACAGGGTGTCCCAAAAAATGTATCGAACGTTTGATCGTTAATATCTCTCTTCTAGAGAAGTCTTTTCTCTTGTTTCAGGTACCAATCTGTAGAGCTGGCTCCAACTTAGATTTGCATTATAGAACGAATCACTCATTTATCTTCATTACTGCAGGATTATGGTAGAAACTTCAAGGGTTTTAAGCAATGAAAGGCTATATTTTGCCTCAGAAAGAAAACAAAAGAGCCTGAAAGCTTTAACACTAGGCTAATTAGAGTTGCTGATTATAACTGTAAAGTTCCCAATTTATTATGATGTTTTGTTGAAGAGTTATGCCACGTAAGAGGTAGCGGCCATTTCTTCAATGTTCCTAAAAAGTGCGGTTACACCGTTTAGAAAGCTTCGCAATTATGAGAATAGTTGAGTATTGAACTCAGCGTCTATAAAAATCCCAATACAGAAGTTTTCACAATTTTTTGAAAATTTTGAAACGTTTATCTGCCCGATAATTTCGTATTCCTCATAGCAATGAAATGCCGAATATGAATCATCTTTTCCTCCTAGCTATACTAGAGATGTCGAATCATTTTCGTAAATGTACATTTTGTTATGTCTAACGATTGAGTCAATGCTCTAATATTCATTCTACGGTATTTCGATTATGTGATGTTCGGGAAATAGCGTACGAAGAGAAGAGAGTAGCATGATATATAAGGCTGGGTTCATACTGATTCCCATGTTCTGGAACTGTTCCCGCACAGTTCTCGCACTGTGCTGGAACTGTGCGGGAACAGTTCCAGAACATGGAAATCAGTATGAACCCAGCCTAAGCTCGCAATGAATTGTCACCTTGCTTATCGCCCATATGCAATAAACTTCTCCATCACCTTCGCGGTCACTTCCAAGTCAAATCAAAACGGCAGCTTTTTCCACATTAACGCCATATGTTTCAAGTTTCTACCGTAATCCTACAGTAATGAAGAGAGATGGGTGATTCGTTCTATAAAGCAAATCTAAGTTGGAGCCAGCTCTACAAAACGGTACCTGAAGCAAAGCAAAAGACTTCTTCGGAAGAGAGATATTAACGATCGAACGTTCGATACATTTTTTGGGACACCCTGTATAAAGATGACACAGTAATCCATGCAGAACTGTCTTCATCCAACCAGAACCGTAAGCAATGTGACCTCATTTCAAATTCAACTAGACTCACCAAACCTATTCGATGGAGGATAGTATAATGCCTGTACTTTCTTCATAGGGACTTTGTGTCTCCTCGCATGTTCTTTGCGAGCGGTAGCGTTGTTCAGCGTGATGTAGTCATAAATAAGTGTCACCCTTTCGAATGCGTCTACAATCTCCAAAAACGTCAGTCCATCTTTGTATGCCATTTGGTACTGAATAGCAACAATTGTATATGGAGTAAACCGAAACACTTAAGTTCCTCAAAATTGTTGCTTCTTATCTACTTTCTTTTGCTAGCCGATACAGATGCCTTATGCTCCTTCCGCCAGAAAGGATGGGGAATCTGTGAAGGGATGACATACTGGGTGTCCTAAGGTATGGATGCACAATTTGATCATTAACATTTTTCTTGCTCTAACGTCTGTTCTAATCTCTGCGTGCCTTTCTATGAAGCTGGCTTCAACTTATGATAAGGGGCATTGATTACTCCTCGTTACTGCGAGATTGCTATGGAAGTTTCGAAGAAGGTTTTGTGCCATTCAAGCCCATACTTTGCCTCAAAACCGAAAAACAATTAACAATGAACAATAGCAATTTCTACGCAGCTATAGGAGTCGCCTTCTCTACATATTGAATTCGCACATTACCGTAATTCTTCTTTAGTGCAGTAAATTTCAGTAAGTTCTCTCAAGGACCTCAGAATGCGATCACATTATCTGAAAAACTTCACTAACTTATAGAAAAGTGGGTAGAGAAAACCCACAAATATTTTACGAAATGCACGCAAATTCTTCAACCCTAACGAAAAGCAATCGGCCACTCAATGCTTTAAATCGAGCTACCCATCTCCACAGATTAGTATATATAGACACAAAAGGCATTGGAGAAAATAGATATTAACAATAAAACAGTGTGTAAATACTTTTAAGATGGTTTCTCAGAAATCGCGAGACTGTATTCTCTGCTAGCTATCATTCATCTTCAGAAATAATGTACTAAATAAGCAAAATAGACAATAGCGTTGACTTTTGAGCAGAGGTTAACCTTATTTAACAAGTTGGCGACCTTGTGCATACGCGCGTATGCACGCCTTGGCTCCCCTCTAGCACGTTCGTGCGTCAATTATTCATGTATAGACGAAACTCTCCAAGGTAATTTGTATGCAGTAATAATGCTGGTGGTCTGGTTGTCATATAGAACACACGGCATTGCGCTAGCTGCTCAGGTGTCTGAACTGCGTTTAGATATCTAGTCCATTCTGATGTGATTTAAAATGGTTCGGTCGTCAACGTGTTAATCTCCTGGGAAACGTTAAGGGACTGTTCTCTTTGAATTGCTTTTTTATATGTTTTTGACGGAAAACTCGTAAACTGCTAAAGCTTGAAACCTGTGCTAACCATGTTTCTTATAAGAAAAATGAAGTCTTTAAGTGAATGCTTGTTCACTAAACCCCCACTCGCGAGCTGTGTCCGTCAAAATTCCACTAAATTACTTTACCTTGTTTCGCTTGAAATTCCTTCAAGCCACTCCCTCCAAGGTTTTGCAACGTTGAACCTCCAAAAACGAATAACTTTGAAGAGGGCAGGAAGCGCGGGAGATTCAAAATCGACCAAATTACAGCCTTAATGAGAATCTGTTGTTCAGATTCCTGGAAAAAAGTTGAACTTCGAGAAAAGGTCATCTTCAGAGTGCTAAAAACCCTTCTTTGACAGTTCCCCCTTTCCCTTCCAGGGCTCGGTACTTGTTGTTTTCGAGTGTTTTTCAAAACGATGTCCTCATCATCCCGCAAAATTATTCCATTTGTTATGCTCTTTCGGTAATGTGTTTAATAGCAAGGAAACTTTGATGTGTACAAAATTCTCGGTATGTAAAAAAGCATTACTCTTGCCTATAGTATGATAAAAACATTTTTGGAAAGTGGAAAGAAAGTTCCAAACTTATATATAGTCTCATGCTGATAATCTCAAGACTGGCAAATCCGAGAACAGATATTACGTAAGTTACGAAAATTTTTACATGATATATTTGGGAGTAATTTTATGAATAAATAGTTCAAACCTGGTGCCATACAATCAGCTATGCTCTGCAAACTCGTTTGTTAGGTTGTTACACAAGTCTTGTTACACTTTGACTTTTTACCACGACAAGTCCTACACTTTCAATTTTCAATAAAGTTTCGGTTACATTTCATAGAGCAAAGTAAGCCTCAGCAAAGATGACATGAATTCTTGTGAAACTTTTGCGCATTTTAAATGCATCTCAAGTTCAAAACCCAATGTATTAGGTTTAACCGGAAGTTCTGTCGCACTAATTTTGAAATACCCATAAATGCTCTCTGTGTGATATTTGTTTGCAATAAATTTAAATGGAAAGCAGTAATCATCTATTTCCTAATAAAATATCTTCGCGGGCTCTTCGATGACAACGACAAGGGCCCCAAAAGCAAAAAGGCGAATAGAAAAACACTATAGCTTTTGCCGTGCTGGAATACATTATCAAAGATCCGAAAGAGAAAAAAAATGAAAATTTAGAGAATTCCGAGAACAACAAAATAATTTTTTCGTTTTTTCCTCCGTTTTCCTGGAAATATACCTTTTGAACCGTCGAAAAAAAAGCAGCTTGTAGACCATAAGAAACAGCCCGTAGTAAACCCCCATCAGGGCATCTCTCTTGAGGCGGACCGGAGTTGATCTTATCGCGCCTCAGCACATTGCCAGGGGAGCGGTTGATTTCGAGCAGATCACTTACTGGACGATCGCGTTTTCAACGATGGAACGTTTCTGCCATTTGTGCATTACTAATAGATAAGACTAATGCATTTCAAGCGGCAGGGCCGTGGTTCGAGCGAGGCAGCGGCACAATTTTTGCTACTTGGCCTGGCGATCTTTGATAGCGGCTGCTGTCGAAAAAATCGATGATATCCGCTATCAGAGATTTCACTATGCGAACAACGGGATAAAACAAATACGCAGTATTTTGGAATAATATCAGGAAAAATCACACTTGGCGAAGAATGAGTAGAAAAGTAAATTTACCCTCTTGTTATCTAAAGCGGTTTTTTCAAGAAAAACAAGCAACAACTGCAAGAAAAAAAAAACAAAAAAACTTTTTTTCCGATTTCGTCGCGCAGTCAGCTGTTCATCGATCCCCACTCACTTAGGCGCCCGAAATTGTGCAATTTTGGGAGTTTTGCACCGCAAAAGAACGTCTCTGCGATGTTTCGTAACTTACTCGGGAGCAACTTACGGGGATTTTCTCTGTGCTCTCCTCTTTAGCACACTATTTACCTTATGTCGTCGTCCGGCTCATCTCCGATGATTCCGGTCGGGAGCTGATCTCCCTGCCGGGCTTTATCTGAAGCTCACCTGTAGGGTGACCTTGCATATTTACACCACGGAAAGTGGGCAGTCTTCATCTCACCCGACAAAGCCTCATATGAGGACTTCAGGGGAGATCATCTCCCTTGACCGAGCTTTACTATGGGCCATATTCTCAGAAATTACTGCAGCGTAGTGGCGATTTATTTTGAGATATTGAGAGCTAGAGTAGTTCTCCTATTCGACTTTTTATTTCCAGAGTCCCTCGTCGTAGAGCCGTCCCTCGTCGCGAACGCACTGGAAAGGTAGACGATTATTACTTTCTGGTAGAATTTATTGTAAGCAAATTTCACGTGAAGAGCAGTCACGAATTTTTCAAATTTAAAGCGACAGAGCTTTCGTTCAACCTAATAAAAGTTTTGAAGGCAAAAAAGACAAGAGAATTTATATTTTTGTTCAAAAACTGTCAAAGATCTTTTGATTGCACAAACATGAACATTCTACATCGGACATTATGCAATTGTTGTTTGTTATCGACCAGAAACCGAGAAAACGAGAATGTTCATGATTTCGCTAAGCTACTCACTTTTTGCTCTTCAAATGCATGCTACGAGAAAGTCGACGATTCAAGTTTGTTAGTGAAGGATTGCCTGTAACATCATAACTTATAATAACGGGCTAAGGGTTGTTTGCGTGTTTTTGTGTGTGTGTGTCTGAATATCTGTCTGTCACGAAATTCATAGCGCGATTTCCAGCTAACGTCCTGAGCCCAAATTTTGCATAGCGCATGCCACCAGCATAAAAGTCCACCATGCGAAAGCACAAGCGGATTTGTTAGGTGGATCCCTCAGAAATTGCGCCTCAGCCGGGTCCAATTGGCTTTTGGCCCGCATAATCGGATCCATATCACCACTTTTTGCAAAGTCGTGGATGTGCTTAGCATCTCAATGTGCAAGCCATGGGCTTTGCTCCAAAAAAGGGATCAAAAGTCTACTACTTTACAAAAACGACGCCGAAAAGTATTGATTGCTCGATGGTCGATTTGCCAAGGTTTTACTTAAGCATTTGAAAAGATTTTTGCACAGAGATGTGGCTCAGGGTGTTATTGTCCTTATAGCAACTACCTAGCCAGAAAAAAGTTCAAGAATCTATTCAAGTTTGCATTTGTTCTTCTGCGAAAAATTTCATTCTCTCAAAATTACCGTTCTCACATGGAACAGCTTTTGGAATGAGTAGTTGTTTACAATTTATTTGTGATATTCGGCATCGTCCGGTGAGTTTCAATGCCATCTGAAGGCATGAGTGAGTAATGCGTACAGAGTAGGACCACAGCGATCCTTTGCGAATCAGTGTAATTCGTAGCGCAAGCTGCAGCCAAGATTTCGAGCTGATTTTTTGGCTTTAGCATGCCAGCAGCACCCAAGTTAATTATGTAAAGAAGTGAGCGAATTTGTTTCGGCAGGACCTCGCGAGTCAAACGGATCCACCAGGCATTTGCTAAGGCAAACGAGATCCTAATGCAAGGAGTCTGCAGTAACTGTAAGACTTTCAACTTGGACATCTTCTAAGCCCTGGAATTCAGCGCAGATACATAGCAAAAAGTTAATTTCGTGCAAAATTGGCGTCAGAAAGAGATGACTCAATTGATTGTTGATTTTCAAAGAACTCACTGTATAGCTGGAAATATTCTAGGCTGAAAATGTAGTGCGCATCTGTTGTTGTTCTAAGCCAACATCGCATTGATAAAACGGATTCAAAGTTACACTAACCGTTCACCAAAAAGTATCGCCACGCTAATTTTACCGGTTTCACATGAAAACTTCGCAGAATGAATGGTTGTTTACATCATATTCTTCACGATCAGAATTTTCCGGGAAGTTCAAAGCAATTTGAGA